AATATAAATATTTTAAATAATTCAAATAACTAAAGTTGCATCACACGTTCTCCAAAATGCCTAACTTATGTAACATACTGGCATATTAACTGGTTAATTTTTGCTATGGAATCTCATAGTGAAATAATATACCTAGTTTTCATCTTTTGGAATTCAAAGTTTTATTTGTTTCAAATATAGAAAACATGTAAGCAAAACATAATAGTGTTATAATATAGATATGAAAGACTTGGGAGTTTATGGAAACATCTGGACATCAACTTGTGCTTGTTAAACTCGCTGACACAAGCTAGAGTCTGCCTTAAAGATTACCAGATAATCCTATATTATTTGGGCAATCTCTGGTTTTCAGTTTATATTTGTCATGCACCTACGTACACTGGAAAATTGAGAAACCAAATAAAACCACAGATCATTGTTTTTACATCATACTATGCCATAATGCATCCAGAAATCCAACTGCAAACAATAATCTGAAAATATGAAAATCTGTCTTGAAATTAAAAAAAAAAATAGCTCTTTCATTGACACTACTGCATAATGCATTAAACAAAAATGTATACAGAGCACATTGTGAGTTATATAATCCTAGCCTGTACAAAACAGGATTTCTGTAAAACATAATATAAAAGATATAAAATAGTACCTGCCCGTGCTAACATCCCATACTGCAACTGTATGATCAAAAGAACCTGTGATTATTTTGTCTCCTGTGGTGTTAAACGATAATGCAATTATCTCTGCAGAATGTCCCTACATTTTTATAAAAAAGAGATTTTCATAGAATTATTTATATGTATATATATTAGAAAGAGAGAGTAGTACAAGCATTTTTTCAGACATGAAATGAGGTAAAAGTAAATCAATGTAAAGGAAATTGGTAGTACTGAAACCTGAGTGAAAACATAAGTCACTGGCTTGTTATGACATACTAGAATTATAGTTCATAAAGCCTAACTGAAGTGTATGCATGGGACAAACAATACAAAAAGCGTGGGAAACGGGCAAAATAGGAAGTGGAAGTGGGCTGGGAAAATTTGGTTTAAGATAGGTTATGGATCTCATTTGGTGAATCAGATTATCTCTAATTAACATGAATAATTCTAAAAAGGAATAGGCAATTGCTACCAAATACAAGCAGATGGAAGATATGTAGTGGGCCATTAGAACAAAAGTGGTAGAAATGACTTATAAAATGACTTGGACCCCTTGCCTGCTTTCCCATTGACTTTGCTCAAAAAGCTGGTAGGGAAGGTTGCAAATGCCAATCATGTGACCACAGTTCTGTGAGATATTATAATCACAAGCTGGGTGCCTGAGTGCCCAGATTTTAATTACATATCTGCAGGGTGCTACAATGGCCAAAACTTCATGGACCAATTTTTCAGTGCTGCTTTAACTTTCTTTCAATAAGTTTTATTTCATTGAAAACATAAGAAAGCATACTAAGACTGCTAGAACTATAAGTAATTGCAACCCACTGTTAATCTGACTACTTCTTCTCCATTCTGTATGTCCCATAGTCTAGCCGTAGTATCCATGCTTCCTGTTGCAACTAGTGTGCTTTGAAGATTAAATGACAAGCAAACCTGTAAGATAAAAGAGAGAAAGCAGATCTTTTTAGAAATTCTTAGCTTTCCTAACTTCCTTGCTGTCAGGCAGGTGATAGCACAACAGAATGCAATTCCTGCTGATCTATGCCTTATTGGTTGCACAGGATTGTAAATGGTAACAAGAATATGGATCTGAGCCTAAAAATTCTCAGCCATCCAGTCTTGGAAGGCTTGAGTCTGAGCTTGTTCCTCTCCAACCAGATCTGCCCAGCCTCTAGAGGGTATAGCTTCCTGCTCCTGCCAACACAAACTAGAACTGGCCAGGAGAAAGGAGGACCATTATAACACAGTGACTCCAAATCTCAAATCCTGCAGTCAGTCCAAAACAATAGCATGCTCAACAGTACCAAAACCCACTGAAAGGTGAATGAGCACAAGGATGGATACATCACCCCATCTCAGGTCAACCAAAGGTCACAAGTAATGCAGTCTCCATACTGAAACTCAGCATGAAACCTAACTAAAATGGATGCAGGTAATCGCTTCATTAAGTATTCTCAGGAACTGCAGTCCAATCACCTTTTATCATTACTAGAAACCTATAATGCCTATAATGATTGAAAAGTACTGTGTTAAAGACGAAGGAATTATCTCTGTTCTCAAAGAAGCTGATATCAGAGAATGGATGCTTCACTTCCTGGACAGTTATAATAATCCAGGAAGAGGCTAGATCTAATAAGGAAGTGACCGAACTTCGAAGTGTCCTGGAAACCTTATCAGGAGTCACTTATGCTAGATAGAGTCTACACAAATGTATATTCTGCATCTACTTTGTTCTTTTCAAATTTCTGGGAGGAAATTAAATCATGAAATACCCTGCAAACTGTAGTTCTGTTGTTTACAATGAGTACCTGAATTCTAAAATCTAGAATTCTAAAAAGGAAATAACTGCTGAATGAGTTTTTCTTAACAAATGAAGGCACATAAAGAACATATATACAGTATTTACAACCCAGAAGAATATATCTAATGAAGTAGACTGTGATCCATGAAAGCTTACATAACAATTAATTCCACAAGATCCTTAATTATTTTTATTACTTCCTTGGAATTAGGAAAAGTTTTACTGGTTGGCATAAGATTGCAACTAATCCAAAAATACAAATATATTCTTAATTTATCCCTAGCTAACAAATTATTGTATAAAATCTATTTCAGAGTATTTATGAGAAAACAACATACATTAATATTAATTACTGATCTAATTTTGGTAAGATGTAGTGAATATAGTCACTTCTCATGTTATGACAGTTGTGACCATTCACAAATATAAGTGGTGACAAAAGATTCATTTTCTGACCAATGCTTGCAACCAAATTCCAAGTGCCTATCAACAAAAGTCTTCCCTATGCAACTGATTAAGTTCTGGTCAGTTTCAGGAAGTAGTAGTAACCAATGCAGGTTTCTAATCAAGTAATTAAAGTCTTGAACTTGTTAATTTATGGCACTTAGGGATATGCTGTTCTGCAGAGAGAAGCAGCTCAAGAGGAAACAGCTTGTTTAAGCAATCTCTCCACTCTGCAAAGGATCAAAAATGGGGGGAGGGGGGAATTCATCTGAATGACATGGCAGTAACCAATGATCTTTGCAATCTCTCTTTCCCTCTTCCTCTCTCTCTGTCATATGTTAACTGAACAACGATTTTGCTTTAAAAAAAAATTGCTGGAATGGATTGCAGTCACTAAATGACAAGCGGGTGTATACAACAATGATTGAAGAGGTTTGTAAGAATTGAAATTGCTTCCTGTTAGAAAAGGAAATGTTCAAGTCTAAAATGTGTTGCATTCTAACTTACAACTTTCTGAGCTTGAAGCAAGTCATGTCACATTCGGAACACATGCAATGGGATTGGAACAACTCATTTTAAAGTCAAGCTGTTTTACTCATTTCTGTTCTATATATACAGTTGTTAAGTGCAACCAAAACTCTTGTACTTACAATTTCTGCAGTATGTCCTCTAAAAGTATAATAGCATTTTCCTGTGTCTACACTCCATAATTTGCAGGTCTTATCAAATGATCCAGTAGCAATCTTGTCACTAAATAAATAGAAAAATGTTATTGTTCTAATTATTAATTCCAAATATTTGTTGATTTAACTTATATAGTGCCAAATCCTGTAAGACCCCTAGCAACTAACAGCATTGCATCAAACAGAAGAGGAAACCAAAATAAAATTCAATGCAGATAATTAAAACTGGGGTATAAAAACAAGCCTTTCAACATAAGTTTGCAACATAACTTAGATTTGAAGACATACATGACATGTATATTTAGGATTTTGAAAAGTTACATACCCATAAGGATTATTGAAAGCAATTGCATACACCACATTTCTGTGGCCTTCCAGAGAACGTAACTCTTCTCCTGTTGCCGTATCCCACAGTTTGCATGTTCGGTCATAACTTCCAGTGATAAAGCTACAACAAACAAGTCTATTTTATGTTTTCAGACCCAATTGTTCTCATCCACAATTAACCCACTTCTGACTGAATTCAATGGCTATTAATCATTCTCATTCTCATATTTTTTCTTTAAGTAATGTTGTATTGGCAAAGATCATAACAAATCTAAACATTTATAACTCCAGGTTTGTTGAGAAGATTGCATGGCCTCTATTGATGTTGTAACAATAAGTCTGAGCCCAGTAAGTCTAAGTATGGATATTTCAAAACTCCTTTCCCAGAAGCCCTCTGAGTTTACATACTCTGGCCTATCTTCTTGCCTTAGTATACAAAGTTTGCTGTTACTGTTGCCTATCTTCAAGAGACATGTTATTAACTGGCATATGGAGTACATAGACATCTCAAAGGCTAGACACGCAACTGACAAATACAGAGGAGGAGAAAATAATGATAAAAATAAATAAAATATATAGCTCTATCTCCTAGGACAGTGGTCGCCAACCGGTGGGCCACGGCACACTGGTGGGCTGTGAGAAAATTTTGGTGGGCTAGAGAGAAATCTCACCCCCAGAGCACCCCCACAAAGCAATTAATCCAGGCTGCGCAGAAACACAAGGCTGCGCCGCCCACATGGCCCATGAGAACCCTCCCCACCTACTCACTCCTTACCCAGTAAACTTGCCTGCTAAATTGCTATTTTTCCTTTTTCCGACCATCATCTGTTTTGCTGTGCCGGGAGATTTAGATTAGCTAGGAAGCAGGGAATGGTTGGATTTCTTGCTTTCTAGCTAGTCTTTAGATCTTCGGCTCTGCTTTTAAGTACAGCCGAACCTCCTTTAGGACTGAAGGTTTGCTTGCAAGCAAATTCAGTGCAGACTCACAGTGCATGCAAATTTGAGAGACTGAGCTAGCCGATGGCAGATAGATAGATCACTGAATGATTCTGTGAGCAACTCAATCTGTCTGCTTTGCCTGATTTTGGGAAAAAGTTGTTCTTTTTTAATAAAAAAATCAATATTTACATACATGGTGTGTTGTGAGTTAATTTTGTGAGTTTGCTTGCAAGCAAATTTTATGTGACAGACTGAGCTAGCTGATGGGTGATAGATAGATCTCTGAATGAATCTGTGATTCTGTGAGCAACTCAATCTGCCTGCCTGCTTTGCCTAATTTTGGGTAAAAGTTGTTCTTTTTATACAAAAAAATCAATATTTATATAAATATTTATAATATTTACATACAAGCCATGCCCAGCCAGTCACATGACCACCAAGCCACACCCACAAATTAGGCCACAGCCACAGAACCAGTTAGTGGTCCCTGTTTTAGTTAGTTTACTTTTATTGTCATTGCACCTCATACAATGAAATCAAACACCATCTTCAGTGTACATCATGACCATGAAAATAAACACACACATCCTTCACCCTTCACACATTGAACCGGAAACCCCCGACACCGCACCAACACTGCACTATACAGTAGAATTCAAAAAAAACTACTGCCCTGGGATAGAAACTGTTTTTCAGCCTATTTGTCCTTGTTTTTATTATTCTGTACCGTCTGCCAGATGGTAATAGTTCAAAAAAAGGGTTTCCAGGATGAGATGGATCTTTGAAAATGTTTTGAACTTTCTTAAGACAGCGGGAGCTATAAAGCTCTTCCAAAGAGGGGAGAGGGCAACTAATGATTTTCTGGGCAATGACATTAACCCTCTAGAGTGCTTTCCTATCTGTCACTGTGCAATTGGCAAACCATACAGAGGTGCAGTATGTTAAAGTGCTCTCTATGGTGCAGAGGTAGAAGGTCACCAGCAGTTTCTCATTCAGTTGTTGTTTTCTGAGAAGCCTCAGGTAGTATAATCTCTGCTGGGCCCTTTTGACTGCAATGTGGGCACCCCAGCTCAGGTCCTCTTTTAGGGTAACACCCAGAAACTTAAAACTGGCCACTTGCTCCACTTGGTCTCCATTGATAAGCAAGGGCTGGATGTCTGGTCTGTTCATTCTATCATCCACTATAAGCTCCTTTCTTATTGGTGTTGAGGACCAAGTTGTTGTCTCCACACCACGAAAGCAACTGGTCCACCTCATCTTGGTAGGCAGACTCATCCCCCCCGGACATAAGTCTCACCGCTGTTGTATCATCTGAAAATTTAGCAATAGTATTACTAACGTGAGTGGGAATGCAGTAATGCACATAAAGAGTATAGAGTAAGGTACTCAACACACAACCCTGTGGTGTACCAGTGTTAAAAATAAGGGCTAAAGAGGTATGATTACCTAATCTGACCCTCTGTGAGTGGCCAGACAGGAAATCCATAATCCAAAGGCAGATTGAATTAGAAAGCCCAAGGTCCAGAAGTTTAGACACTAGTCTATGTGGAAGAATTGTGCTAAACGGAGAACTAAAATCCTCAAAAAGCATCCTCACATCGCCCCCCCCCCCCCGCTGTTCTAGATAAGTCAAAGCAGTATGAAGAGTGATAGCTATAGTGTCCTCTGTAGTCTATTTTTTCTGTATGCAAACTGGTGTTTATCAAATGTATGCGGAAGACCAGAAATGATGTGCCGGCAGACCAATTTCTCAAAGCACTTAATGATGATAGGAGTGAGTGCCACTGGTCTGTAATCGTTGAGGTTATTGATAGGGAACTTTTGGCAGCGGAACAATGGTGGAAGCCTTCAAACAAGATGGAATAGTGGACTGGGATCTAAAATTGAAATAGTTCCTGGAATCTAAAATTATGAGTTTGGTGGTCCCTGAGGTCCAAAAGGTTGGTGACCCCTGTCCTAGGATGATAGCAAGAGATGTGTGACTAGGGAGATCAGTCCTTTTACTCTAGAGAAAGATCAATCTCTTAGGTGTTAAATAAAATTTATTTATTAAAAATGGAAAAAATATAATGTAAAACTTCTTTTTGCTTCCTTTTAGGAATCACATATAAAACAATCAGTACTGAAGAACTTAACACACAATGCTTCTAAAAATCACTCATAGCATCATAAATTTTCCACATAAGACTTAAGAAGGAAAATTAGGATTATAGACAGATACAACACAATCCTAAATTTAGAGAAATTTTGTTCTGTCAAGTTCTAAGACACATTAACAGCACTCAATTTACTGAGCATATACATCTGTTTCCTCCTTTTTTCTGGGAGTTTTGACTTGGATTTTTTTTTCAAAACCAACACATTTTCCTTCAGAATAGGGAGAGGCTAGGAAGCATGTCCTACTGTGACACACTCACGACTTACTAGTTATGAAGTATTACTAGTAAGCAATTGAAAAATGTCAAGGGCTTTTGTGTATCTTTGTATTTTTGAATTGTTGAATAATGATACAATCTTATATATGTCTAGTAGGACGTCCTAAAGAAATAATTATTTGCCGCCTTAATAGCTTTGCAATCTAAAACCTGGATTTTGGTGGCAATTTGCTATTACATAAATATTAATAAAACATTCACCACAGTATAAGTGAACTGCAAAAAGAATAAATTTAGCATTGGGACATGCTTTTCAAATATTAACATTAATGGTTTTAAATATCATCTCAGTGAATGACATTTTTAAAATGGTAGATTTGTGTTACATTATTAATTAGCAGCATTTCAAGGAATGGATAGGAAAAACAATACTGGCTAAGAAAAAGAAAAAAGTTGTATCCTATGTTTATTCAATATCATTTTGCTATCTATTTTGTCTAAAACATTTTAACTGAGGGTTTTTGCTATTGCTGTAGTTTTGGGCTTTCATACCCTACTGACTTCAATCAACTTTCTTTAGTTAAAACAATAGCATGGGAAAACATGGATTGTTAAATGTACCAAATCCAATTTAAATTTAGGCATACCATTCCATTTAGATTACTTACTTTTAATTTAACTACATATCCAAACTTACCAAGAACCAGATTTGTTAAAGGCAACGTTGGTAAGTGGCAATATATGTGCTCGAAGTACCTGAAATTACAAAAAACAGCAGTGACATTTCTTTATATTTATGTACATTTTGCCTTCATAAATCCAGTTCCATAAATATATATTTTGAATTATGTAACTTGTTTCAAACAAAATTAAATGTTTTACTGATTTAAGTGCTTATTGATTTCAATGGCAGTTATTTAAGTATATACTTCACTTGAATTAAATGAGGACTTGGCTAGGTTATGCTTAATTAAGTTAAATCACTATGCCATAACAGCATGCTCTAACAACACTCAAATGTCAATCAAGTTATGCTACAGCAGCTTGCTACTAAGCTCAGCATACGTACACACACACACACACACACACATATACACACACACACATCACCCAGGAAACAGCTAAGACACTGCCATTTCATACCCATCTCGTGTCTCCATTAAGAGGTGTTATTGACAGATACAAGGTGATATGAAGTGAAAATAGAAAACTAGTCTTATTTACACTTCTCTGTTCTTGACAAATTAGTGTCCAATGAATATATTTGCACGTCATTCCTTACTGAACTGTGGGGAGGGATAGCCCCTATTTTTATCAATATGGAGGACATCTTTTGAAGCAGAACTTTTATTTTATTTCATTTAACTACATTCTGTATCTTGCTTTCATGGGACAAAATGCATATAAGTGACTTAGGGGTTGGGGTTTTAAAATAAATAAATAAAAGTTAAATTTGGATAATTGTTTTTCTGCTGCCAGATCGACTGTTGAAAGATCATGTCACTTATAATAATGTTATCTTCACTGCCTGGTTTTGAATTATCTTATCAAAAGAAAAGGCCCTGAAAGAATAAAGGCAATGTTCAAAGCTCTCTGAAATTTTTTTTAAAAATTGTTCAAAAAGTTAAATTAAGTTAAAAGAATGAAAAGTTAGGATATGATTAACAGAACATGAAAGAGTCAAGCATTGTTACCCCTCATTGAACAAACAAAATCTAAGGAAAGTTTTTGAAAAACTTTGTATCCAATGTAGAAAGCTAGCATCACCCCTCTCCTAGAAGAATGAAATATTTTAGGAAATATTAAAAAAGCAGAATATTGTACCTCCCTAGATGAGAAAAGGAGAAACATACTCTTGGAAAGCAGCCCCCACCTTTGTTAATAATCTCAGAAAGACTGGGCCATCTTATCTACATGACAAAAGACTGGGCCAGCTTATCTACAAAACAAAAGACATTCAGGACATAATAGGATTACCTCTCTCACTCAAGACCAGGACAAAGCCATTAAGACATAATAGGAATTGTCCAACACCCTTTCAGAACACAACCTTCTTCATTACATCATCACCCAGCAAGATTCAACCAAGCCTGGGACTCAAGACAACCTACAAAGTTAAACCCTGCCTGGCCCCACGGGAGTCTGACAACCAATCAGAATACATACCCTTGCCACAATTACAAGAAGCAAAATTCAAAGCCCAAGAGAGGGTATAAATCTCTCCCTCTCTCACCCATGTGCTCAATTGCCCAGGACCTCAAACCATGTGGTCCTGTCCACCATTAAACCATCTTACCAAATAGCGTCCATGTTTCCAGTGTCTTTTTCCCCACTTGGGACTGAACCCTGATGGACATTATTTCCAACACCAACTTATTCCACCTGATTTTTTTTAACCAATGAGAGAACCATGATTCCTCAAACAGCTATTAATGCTTTTCTACAAACATCAATTTAGCCAAGTATATATTTCATACTAGGGTATATATCTGTGAGAGAATCAGCAAGGGAAAAAAAACTTTTTAAGTCATAGCAGCCTAGTATTGTTAATGTTACATTGTAAAATAAGACTTAAAATTATATTTTTGCATCCCATTTAAGAACAGGCATGACCATCAACTAGGATTCTAGACAGAACAAAATCTTCCTGAATGAAAAATAGGCCTGCTTTATACTCATATTTAAAATATGAAAATATTCATATTTTTGGCAATTAAATGTAGAACACACCTAAGCCCTACCCTTAATTGATGATCTGTAGATTTTTTTTGTATTGCATTGGTGATAATGGTAAAGTTTTTCCCCCCCTGCAATTTACAACTTAGATGAATAATCCAATAATCAATTTTTCTATTCAACTGCCTGAAATATCTTATTCTAGTACAAGTAGTATACAGTAATTGTTTTTATGCATCTTTCCTTTGCATATACCCTGTAATCATAACTTAGCACAAATATACTTTTATATACTGTAGTAATTTTTAACTCAGTATTCTTAAAGTACATTTGTTTTACCTACATTTCTTGCTGACAACAGATGCCAACAATTTGCATTGATTAGTGCCATATATATCATGGCAGAGTCCAGTCACAGCATTTTAGGGTAATTCATAGCATTTTAAGATAAAAGAAATCTAGGGACATTTATATAAGAAATATTATTTATTTATATATTTTTATATTTTTATATTTATATATTTTTATATATATATATATATGTTATGTCCCACCTTCTAAAAATAAACAGTTAAGGCTGAAAGCAGCAGTCCTTGTAAAGAAAGGCAGCAAACAGGAATTTTCACAGATAGCTCCAATAAGTAAAAGTTCCCACGAACTAAATCCAAGACTCAACAAGATTCTTCAGATCAAAATCCTTCACAAAATAATTCCAATAAGTAGAAGTTCCAACGAATTAAATCCAAATCCCAACAAGATATTTCAGATCAAAATCCTCCAAACTGTGCTCTTCAGTTCTCTCTTGCAAATAGACACTTTGTTCCGGACAAAGTGCAAAGTCATATCTCTCCCTTTATAGAGTAACTAATTAGTCTAATTGCTGGTCTGCCCTCCTACTGTATCCTCGTTGGTTCCTCCTTGTCAGGAGACGTCTTGTCCTGACATCTACCCAGCAATCATCCAAATTATCATCATCTTCACCTGAAGATATCATCTGTTCCTCATTATCACCCGTTCCCGGCTGACCACCTAATTGAAGGGTGGAGGAGTTTGAAGGTTCAAGCCGATCTTGCAAATCAAATGCATTCATCTCCTCCTCATCGTTAGAACTTGCTGATTCATATAAGTCCTCCTCGCTGGAGCTGTCATTCAAAAAACCTGTAGCAGATGCCGGAATCACAACACTATCCCTCACCGCAGGGCCCTTCCCCCGGGTCTGGCGATCCGGATGCGGTTTCGAAGGGAAGCGTGCATGAAAGTCTCGAAGCAGATCCGAAGCATGAAGTGTAGACGCATCCGTCCAGGAACAAACCTCCGAGTCATCTACCCTCCTCCTGATCAAATACTGGAAGCGACCTTTGAGCCAACGGGAATCAAGGACGTCGACCACCGTATCGTCAACAGCAGGCTCCTCAGAAGGCAATGATAACGGACCCGATTCAGCAGAATCACGTAATCGACAAACAGAAGAATCAGGAATCAAAAGAGATCGATGAAAGACGGGGTGAATACGCATGGATCGTGGCAAAGTGAGGCGGTATGCCACGGGATTAATAACTGCCTCAATCGGGAACGGCCCAATAAACCGATGATCAAGTTTTCTAATAGGGCGATCGACCTTCAGATGTTTTGTAGATAGCCACACTTTATCACCCACAACTAACGGAGGTGTATCTCGACGGGACCGATCTGCAAACCGCTTATAATCTTCTTTTGCCTTATTCAATTGTTGTATCAGTAGACGGCGAACTGCGTGTAGTTCTTCCAAAAACTCTCGGGTCTCAGGAACCGGGGAATCCATCATAGTTAATGGGAAGAAACGCGGATGATAACCCATATTTGCAAAAAATGGCGTGACACGGGTGGAGGTATGCTGCGAGTTGTTAAACGCGAATTCTGCTAACGGGAGGTATTTCACCCAATCGTTTTGTCGCAAATTAACAAAACATCTCAAATATTGAGTAAGAATCCCAATCACCTTCTCCGTCCCGCCATCAGTTTCCGGATGGTGCGCTGACGCTAAACATACTTTCACTTGCAAAGCCGCCATTAACTGTTTCCAAAATTCTGCCGTAAACTGGACCCCACGATCAGAAACCACTCTATCAGGCAGTCCATGTAGACGGAAGATATGTTGCAAAAATAACTGAGCCGTAGTGCGGGACGATGGTAATTTCCGACAGGGAATGAAATGAGCCATTTTAGTCAACATATCCACTACCACAAGCACTGTTGTGAACCCCGATGAAGATGGTAAATGTGTCAGAAAGTCCATAGAGATCGCTCCCCATGGTCTACTTGGAATCGGCAAGGGTTGCAAAAGTCCAGGAGGTGCACCGGATGCTGCTTTCGCTTGCCTACATTGAACGCAAGAAGCGACGTAAGAAGACACATCATGACGAACTCGAGGCCACCAAAAAGTCCGAGTGACCAAATGCAAGGTCTTGTGTAATCCAAAATGACCAGCGGCTGGGTTATCATGACATTGTGTCATGATGAGAGCCCTCAACGGTCTGGTAGGCACATATAATAAACCCCGATATCGAAGCAGATCGTCTTCAAAAGACCATGGAGAAGTTGGGCCAATGTCCTCCCGTCTCTGCTGCGTCCACGCATCCAAACGTTGCGCCTCTCGTAGTTGGGCCCGTAAATCTACCGGTTCCTGCAGTACAGCTAGAGATTCCGGTGGTAACACTGTCCGTAAAGGAAGAGGATCTTCGGCACAAGTATACTCCGGTTTCCGAGATAATGCATCCGCCCTCCGGTTCTGACCACTTGGAACGTAAGTAACCGAGAAATTAAATCTGGCAAAAAATAACGACCAACGAATCTGCCTTTGATTCAATTTCCTAGCCGTGGTCAAATGTTCCAGGTTCCTATGATCTGTCCGAACCTCCACCTTGTGTCGAGCTCCCTCCAAATGATGTCTCCAAGTTTCAAAAGCAACCTTAATAGCTAACAACTCTTTTTCCCAAATGGTATAGTTGCGTTCCGAAGCTGTAAGCTTCCTAGAATAATAAGCGCAAGGAAACAAAAGAGCGCCATCCTCCAAAGCTTGTAACAGCACTGCTCCGATAGCG